AAAGAAAAAAATGTGATTGTAATGTGATATGATTGTAGTTTGTTTAATGACTCTTTTTTTAATATGATTGTTGTACTTAGTTCAATGGTTTTTTTTTTAATGTTATTTAATCTTTTTATTTACTATTTCAATTTTATTTTTAATATAATTGAAATTAGATAAACATAAACACTCACAAAGAAAAAAAAGTGATTGTAGTTAGTTCAATGGTTCTTTTTTTTAATGTGATTGTAGTTAGTCAATGGTTCTTTTATTTATTTATTTATTTATTTTATTATGGAAAAAATGTGATGTAATTGTAGTTTGTTCAATGATTTTTTTTAATATGATTTAATCTTTTATTTACTGTTTTAATGGTTTTTCTTTACAATTATTTATAAAAAAATATGATTGTAGTTAGATAGCATAAAAATATATGTGATTTGATTTGATTTTTTTCTGATTTGATTTTTAAAGTACCAATTATTGATAATGATTAGATTGTATTTTAAAAAAAAAATTGGAATTGATTTTTTTAACTCATTGTGTTTTTTGAAAAAAATTTATTGTGTTTTTTTAACTATCAATTCACTTAATTTGTGATATGATTTTTAACTCACTGTGTTTTTTGAAAAATAAAATGGATTGTACTCATTAGGGTCACATAATGTACCAATTATTAATGATGATTTGATTGTATTTTGACCCCAAAAAAATTAGAATTGATCTTTTTAACTCACTATATTTTTCGAAAAATAAATTATTGTGTTTTTTAATTATCAATTGATTTAATTTGTGATTGATTTTTTTAATTATTGATGATGATTTGATAGCATTAAAAAATTGTGATTTGTATGATTGAAGTTATCTCCTTTTGTTTATAATTTAATTTTTTAATATGATTGAAATTAGATAAACATAAACACTCAATGGGGTTTTTAAGGAAAATGGGGTTTTTAACCCCAAGGCCTGTGGGAGCTTCAATATCCCAATCTGAATTTCTTAAATTTTTTATTAAAAAAAAAAAACTCAACACTTATTGATTTGGTCAAAATCCCCTGATCTGCATTTATTAACTTTTTTCAATCCACATGCCTGCATTTATTGATATAGTCAAAATCTCCTGATCAAGAACCTTACCTTTGGAGGTTGGGGGCAGTTCTTCCAAGAGTGAGAAATGGCAGTCGAGATAGAGTAGAGGGCTTGAGCTCTGGATCGTCAGGAAGTATAAAGGCAGTAGGAAGAAACGGCTTGAGGAGGGTGATGTATATGTAAGGGTGAAAGGCCGCCCAAATTCAAAAATCTGACAAGAACGGCGGGTTGGCTTCTCGATGACCAATGGGAGCTCGCCACGTGTCCCCATTTATGGCTACGTCAGGATTGAAGCGACGGGATGAAGAGACGAAGAGCCAGCCGAGCTACTTTCGACGAAAAGGCTATAAGCCGAGGAACATGACCGGGGAAGGATAGCAGATTAGCTCGGTGAAGGCTTGGCGACTTGACGACCGGAGAAATGTTATCTCGGTCGAAGTGAATAATCCCAGTCACGCTTTCGCGGACGGGATTAAGGGGCAATTGAGAGGGTGATTTGTGATCCGGTGTTAGGCCGAGGTATAGACCGAGCAAGTTGAGGGCCCAGCAGAGCATTGGGCCGAGATGATCGACTGTTCACCCGGAGATGGGCTACCAGAACTTGGGCCGGGCAGAGTTTGGACTGAGTGTGTGCTGCCCCGGACCGTGAAGAAGCTGCTTGGCCAGGAAGTGACCGGTCAGACCAGGATGCTCGGTCCGAGGATGGTCGAAACCAGACAGACCGAGAGACCGGCGCTAGGAAAGGCGCGGTCAGCCGAGGTAGTTGATTGACCGACGAGAAGGCCGACCAAAGGAGGAGCCCGGGCTAGGCTTTGCCGAGATGCCGCCTAGCCCGGTCCCCCCTATATATACTTTGCCAGGAAAGTGCTAGGGTGTGGAGCACGGCATGGCGCGACTACGGATAGGGCAGCTCGGCTGCCGAGCTCCAGCTGTGAAGTCAGGCAGTTGAGGTTAGGTGGTGAATGGCATGGTTTATGCTGACAGACGGGATAGCAGAGCCATATGTGTTGGACTTTTCAAGAAATTTTTTTTATGCTTGTTCTTAATGCATTAAAGTGTTATTATGATGAATAATAATCATATGTGTTGGAACTTTTCAAGGAATTCATATGTGTTGGATTTCAAAGAAATTTTTTTTTTTATGTTTGTTCTTAATGCATAAAGTGTTATTATGAGGTAAGATTTGGGGGTTAGGAGAAGTTAATAAATGCTAAGGTTTTTTTTTTTTAAATTAAAAAATCAAGAAATTTAGATTGGGAGATTGGAGCTCCCACAAGGCTTGGAGTTAAAAAATCCCTTTTGCTTAATATATAGTATAGATTGTAAATATATTAAGGAAAAAAGGGTTTCTAAACCTCAAGTTTTGTGGGAATTTCAATCTCTTAATCTTAATTTTCTAAATTTTTGATTTAAAAAAAACAAACCTCAGCATTTATTGATTGGGTCAAAACCCCATGATCATCATTTATTAACTATTTCCAATCCACATGCCTACATTTATTGATTTGGTCAAAATCTTTGATTAACATTTAAAATCCTCTCATACAAATAATTATAGATACAGCCCATGCATAGTTACTGCAATAGACTTTTTAATTTCTCCTGTACACTATGATTAGCGATAACATTGTTAAATTATTTTTATAAAAAAAATCTTAAAAAACATAATTTATATATTAAAAAAAATTAAATAAATATAAATATCTATAATTATCCCGTGCATAGCACGGGTGATAGGCTATCTATACTATATATTAAGCAAAATGGGTTTTTAACCCCAAGGCCTGTGAGAGTTTAATATCCCAATCTAAATTTTTTATTTAAAAAAAAACTCAGCATTTATTGATTTGATCAAAATCTCCTGATTAACATTTATTAATTTTTTTTAATCCACATGTCTTTCCACATGTCTGCATTTATTGATTTGATCAAAATTTTCTGATCAGCATTTAAGATCCCTTTATACAAATAATTATAGATACAATCCGTGTATAGTTACTGCACTATCATTTTTAACTTCTCACATACACTATTACTAGTGATAAGATTGTTAAATTATTTTATAAAAAATCTTAAAAGTATAATTTATATATTAAAAAAATTTAAAATAAATATAAATATCTATAATTATTTACACATTACGATATATAGCACGGATGACAGACGTGTATAAAACGAAGCAAATGTATGGTGAGATGAGTCCTCATGGGTTGGTGGTCCGCACAAAGACAAATCATCCAGATCATGTGTGGGTCAAAAGATGATTTCTCTGGCAATAAAACAAAACTACGTGTGGACCACAGACTTTTTTTCAGGAAAATGCGTTGGACTCCCTGGGGGCGCTGGGTCCTTGCTGATTGGTTAAAAAATAAATTTTTTTTTTTTTTTTTTTTTTCCCAAACCATTAACAGTGTGTAATGGGAGGTCCTTAGCATCACCCATTTTTTCATGCCCATCCTCTTGTTGCCTTCGCCTCCTACATACCTCTTTATGATTTTTTGTTTTTTTCCCCCAAAGAATGAGTCTCAAAAAACATAAGTAGCAAAAATCCCCAAAGAATGAGTCTCAAAAAACATAAGTAGCAAAAATTACATCACATATAAATAAACTTGGAATTTCAAAATGGTACGAAATCAATTTCAATTAGTAAATAGTGAAAAGTTATTTTTTTTTTTAATTTGGACACCCCTACCTTGGGTCTCATCTCATCTCATCTCATCTCTCCTTCCTCCCCAACCGCTAGCCAACCACCAACACTCCTCCTTCACCGCCACAACTCTTCTTCTTCCAACCTTCTCTCTCTCATCTCACGATTTCACTACCAATTCCCAACGGAAAGAAGAGGGCTGGGAATGGCCGGTGAGGGTTGGGAGGGAAAAATCCCCTTTCTTCTCATCACCACCTCCACACCCTGCTCTCTCTCTCTCTCTCTCACCACTCACCCGCTACCACAACGACACTAGTCTCCTTTGCGCACCACTATAGCCCCCTTTCTTTCAACACCGACGACGACGACACCACCACCACAACACTCCAATTCCCATCTTCCTTTTTCTTCCCCCAATACGCTCTCGCAGAACCCAGCCCCACCACTCCCACCTCCCCTTTTTCTTTGCCCATCACTCTAGCACCCTTTCTCCACAACACCACCACCAATCCCAATTCACTCTCTCACCCACCACCACCCCAATCCCTTTTCCAAAGCACCATGATACCCCCAAACCAGCCCAAACACACTAGATCAAGTAATTTTTTTTATTTTTTATTTTTTATTTTTCATTTCTTTTATTCTCTCTACAAATTCCGACATCCAAACATCTAATCTAAAATTCCAAAGACACAAGCAGGATATTAAAAAGAGACATTGAGAACCCAACCTTCTTTTTGTACGCAAGACAGACATAACATGACATGCTTACGAAAAATCAAGAAAGAAAACTGCACCAAGAGAATTTTAAAACAGAATATCAAATGAAAACCAAATTCTGCTCAAATTTATCACTAAAAATATTTAATCTGGCATTTATCATACAAAAGGAAGACTTACAAACCCACTTCAACCTCCAACATCAACAGAGTACATTAACATTAACATTAACATTCTTTTTTCACATCCCCAGTCACTCAATCCTTCAAATTTCTGATTACCCCTCCATTTCCACACTGCATGTAACATACACCCTCCTTTAATTCCAAAATTCTAAATTAACCCCATCATAATCCCATAATTATCATTAGCCCCATATTTGAAGATAATTTATACAAATACCATCTCTTCATTCCATTTTCAGACCTTCACCCTCTCCATTTCAAAAAATTACGGAGAGACCCAACCTCTAAAAAAACGAACGAAAAGCAAAATACCCGAGAGAGAGATATAAATACGTATATATACGGACTTTGGGATAAAAACGACATCGTTTTAGGCTTCAATCAAGGCGGAGCAACCGCCGGAGATCTCTGGTGGCGCAGTCGTCGACGGCGGCGATCTTCGAAACTTGCTTTTTGCTGAAGAACGAAGGCAGAGGTAGAGATCTCGGCGACGGAGACAGCGAGATCGCCGATCCGGCATATACATCGCCGGAGACCGATTTGAGGTCGCCGATTCGGATCTGCTTCGGTACGATCAGATCGTCGCTAGCCTTCTTCGCCGGCTGACGATGACCGTTGATCTTTGAATCGAGAGACTCGCCTCTCCTCAAAATCATCACCTGTCCCATCACGAGATTATTGTGATGGTAGTTGTTGTGGTTGTGACTCTTTCTCAGATCATCCAAACTCGCCGATCTACTCGACGCCAACGGCTTGTTCTTCTTCTGCTCCGGCCGAACCGCCGGCTTCCGGCTAGGGTTAGGGTTTCCATTGTTTTTCCGGCGATGGTGCTGAAACACGGGTTGAGCAATTCTGATCCGTTCGACCAAACAATCCTGCGGACGCAAAACCTCCGTACCCATTACTTAAAAACTCCCTCTGAATCTAAATCTACGTATATAAATCTGAAAACGATCTGTAACATGAAATGAAACCCAGAGAGAAGAGAGAAATCCGCAGATATGGGGATGAATTGTTGCTGGATTTGATGCAATTTTTCTCTTTCTCCTCTTTGTAGAAGAGGAGGAAGAAGATGAGGGATGGGTTTTTATTTTTATTTATTGTGGAGAATTTTTTATAAAAAAAAAAACAAAGAAAAAGAAGCTCTTTGCTATGCTATGCTATCTATAGATATAATAGATATAAGCTACATATGTATGTATAGATAGAGAATGGGAGAGAAGTGAAGGGGTTATATAGTGTGAGAGTGGTGAGAAAAATGAGGGGTTGGGTTGTGGGTGGGTTCGCACCGAGCTTCGCTCTTCGTTACGCGTGAAGTTAGAGAGAGAAAGCGAGAGGGGAGACAGAGAGAGAGAGAGCCGCCTGGTTTGAGTGAGTGGCTGACCTGTGGACTGGGTCGGGAATGGAGTTTATTTGACGGAAACCGTTAGTCTTCGTCTTCGTTCCTTGTCGTTTTGCTTTTCATGTCGCTGTTCTTTTGATTGTTTTATGAACGGCGTTAGATTTTACGGTAATGTGTCGTTTTCTTCTTTTCGATGGAAATTATTTATGCGGGGTCCACATTTGGGTGATTGATGGAAGGATTAATGTTTAGAAGCATTAAAAATGATCACTAGTGAAATACTAATGAGGTGGTTTTTTTTTTTATGTAATGATTATTTCTTATATATATATATATATTTTTAGAAGTGGTTTGGAAATACTCTTCAGAGCCTCGGAGACGCTAGTGATCCTCAGCTAGCCACCTGAAAAGATACAAACACTCCAGTCGGGGGTGCCGAAATTAGCACTCCGACGGACAAGTCAGTTCAGACACTCAAGATAGCTTGTTTACTAAGTTAAGTAAAGTGATTCTTACATACCTTTCTTAATCCATTGTTCCTGTATTTATACCTGTTCCTTTTATTGTTTAATATATAAAATTTATTAAATATTTTATTTTTATAAAAAATTATATTGATCAGATATTTATAATTATTTAATTAGATTATATTTCTATCGATAATAATAAATATGATTTTAAAAATAAATTATAGACAAAAATATGTTTTGATCAAGTGATAATTGATATATAATCAATATAATTTTTTACAAATGTGAAATACTCGACGAGCCTTATCCATTGAACGATTCAGATCATCAAAATTGGATCCATAGTGAGCTCCTAGGGCCTAAATAATACTGTTTAATCCACAAAATGGACTAGAGACAATTTGTATCATTGGTGGAATTATACAAGTAGTTTATGGCTTATTCATTCTGTTCTAAAATATTAATTCTTTATTTTATTTTTTATTATCTCAAAATATTAGTCTTTTTTAAAAATAAAGACTAAAATAACTTAAATTTTTTATTTTACCTTTTTTTTAAAATTCATTAACATTATTTGAAGTATAATAATTGCATTATCAAAAGGTAGTTTTTAAAAATTAATATTTTTGAACAGTAATATACTACCAAAAAAAAAAGTTAAATTCTCCAAAGAGTACTAATATTAGCACCTACCTTTTTGCTGCAGACCTCTTGTATTTTTTTTTTTATTACAATTTTTCCCCAACACCAATTTCCATTTATAGTCATCTCTATCCTTCCAACTTGAACCCTAACCCTCCACCTCCACTTCTACTTCCACCTCCACCTTCACTCCACTCCACTCCACTCCACTCCACTCCGCCCGACAACCTCATCTCTCTCTATTTCTCTTCTTTTTCTTCAACAAATCCGGCCACCCTCCACCCTGCCATCACCAGCCTCCACCCTGTCATCACCACTGTCATCCTCTACTACCGACCACCACTTCCTTCACCTTACCACTGCTCTCTTCCACCACCGAAAATAAATGAGAAGACACAGCAAACCCAGATTCTTCTTCTTTTCAAACCTAGATTCTTCTTCTTTCCAAACTCAGATCTAGCTTTCAAAGCCCAGATCTGAATGCTTGCACAAACCCAGATCTAGTTCTCACAAACCCTGATCTAGTTCTCACAAACCCTAGATCTAGGGTCGCGACGATGGCACAAACGAGAGAGAGGAAGATCGCGGTGATGGCACCAGGAGAGGATAGGTTGGGAAATATCACCAGAGTTGGGAAGAGTAGCAATCGACGATGGCGGCTACGTTGTAGTGGCCAAAGAGAGAGAGAAAAAGGGGCCTTGCAGCGGTGGTGGTGGTGGGTCTAGTCTTTTTCTTTTCCTTCTTCCCAAACTGATTCAGCGAATGGAGAGTCGCGTTGTGATCTCTACTGCAGATCTTTAAAAAAAAAAAAAGTAAAGGAGTCGCGGTGGTAAGAGCCGACTGGAGTTGGTGGGAATGGAATTAGGTTTAAGGGCTAGGGTTTGTGTTTGGTTTGGAGTTATGGTAGTTTGGGAGTTTGTGAGTTTGTGCTACACTGTTTGGTGTAACTTCTATTTATAACTTATTAGGCATAAATAATTTAAATAAGCTAAAAACAATTGATTTTTTAGAAGTTGATGGAGCGTTGTTTTTGAAGAGTAAGGTTTGAAACTGTAAAATTATGAAAAAAAATTATTTATAAATAAAAATTACTCTCTCTGTCCCAAAATATTAGTCCCTTATTATATTTTTCATTGTCCCAAAATATTAGTCCCTCTTCAAAAATCAAGTACAAAAATAATATAAATTTTCTATTTTGCCCTTCTTTTAAATTAATAAACAATATAAAAAGTACAATTATGACATTGATATTCCCAAAAAATGTATTATCAAAAGGGTAATTTTGAAAAATTAACTTTTTAAAAGTGCAATAATTGTACTACCAAAAAAAGTTAGATTCCCCAAAAGGGACCATTATTTTGGGACGGAGGGAGTATTTTTATGAATATTTTATTTTAAAATTAAACATTTTATTTTGTTAGTTATTTATATATATCATTAATCGAACACCCTTTCAAGAGTAAGGTTTGGAACTGTAAAATCATGGAAAAATTTTATTTATATATAAAAAATATTTTTATGAATACTTTATTGGAAAATTTACCTATAGATCATATATGGGGGAAAGTTAAACAATTTAGTCCTGATAGTTTTCTCACGAACCAATTAGTCCTTTTTTTTTGGGTAAGATTTATTTAGTTGATATTGGTTTCATTTGAGTTTACATGTATACCCTTTGTGTATTTTTTTTTTCCTAAATGGGTTAAGTGACATACGACACTCGACAAACATGTCAAACGAAGCATGAACAAAGTAACCTATAGATCGTATATGGGGGAAAGTTAAACAATTTAGTCCTTATAGTTTTCTCACGAACCAATTAGTCCTTTTTTTTTTGGTAAGATTTATTTAGTTGATATTGGTTTCATTTGAGTTTACATGTATACCCTTTGTGTAGTAAGATTTATTTAGTTGATATTGGTTTCATTTGAGTTTACATGTATACCCTTTGTGTATTTTTTTTTTCCTAAATGGGTTAAGTGACATACGACACTCGACAAACATGTCAAACGAAGCATGAACAAAGTAGGGGGAAACACTATACATAACATTACGACACTTGACGAACAATTAGTTACTAGCTTCCATCCCACCACACAATGTATCATTAAGAGACATACAAACCACGAGGGACGTCAACAACATCGCACAACTAGTTAAGACCACAACAACCCTTCAGATTTAACATATCACACTGTTATTGCATTTCATTAGGATGAATATCATCCATATCACATATCACACAACACATTGATTATTAATATTCCACATCACCATTACCATAACCATACCCAGTAACAAAGGGACTACCATTGCCACATAACAACACACCCAACGGAACTACCATTGCATCTACTAACATCCACAGCAACAAGTTGTTTCGAAACAATAGAATAAGCACTTTAGGTGTTTCGACCACTTAGATCTGACTTTCGTTTGTTCATCTCATAATTCTCGTTTCAATGTTAATTACTTACTTGTACATGAGTTTCAAGGCGTATCTACAACGAGTATATATACATATCAAAGTGTGATTTTTTCCATTTTAGTTGTTAGCGTACAATTAATCGAACAACATTCCTACAACATCAACCACAAAATTGTTAACTCATTCAAACATACCCATTTTGAAATAAGCGATTCGCATTAATCGTTTAACATTGAAATGAGGATCTTCAGTTTGGAAAATGTGCATGTGTTTCACCAATTACCTACATCGCATACAAATATATGTAAATATATGTATGTCAATTACTTTCCCAACATCAAGCCAACAAACTCATAGCAAAATTTTCAAACTTCAAAGCCTCATTTCAATGATAAGTTCTTCCTTCAAATGGCTTATTCCAAATGGCATTTGTTTCAACAGGTACAATTCTTCTAGTTGATGTCGCACTTACGCCATTCAATTAATCACACACTAACATATAAACTTACAAAATCACGCATCGAGATGACTACATATGAACACCAACCTCAACAACATCACCACAAATTTGCCCCAACCACATTACAACACAACACGATAGACCCCAACGTATAAAATTTAACCATGGCAGTTGAATTTGTTAACATGTATGTTACTAGCATCACAACCCAACTATCGAATAACCCATTCACAATCCACATCACCACCAACTAATATACAACTAAAAAAATAGGGGAAATGACACCCTGCCATGACACAATACCAGAATCAACACCACAACTACCGCTAACATTACAGTTATACCAAACACACCATAACAACTTCATATGGTCCAAAACCGCAAACGTATTCCAACCCACCAATTGCCAACAACAGGAATCACAAAGAAAATAGGCATTACACAACCATAACCTTTATAGAAATCTTAACACCCACCCCTACCATTAACGTCCGACAACATTACACGAGAATTTCTAACATTACGAAACTGTAATCAAATAGAAACATACCATATTAGGT